CTATTATTATGCATAACAGCTTTTTATATTTTATTTATTTAAGTATTATTATTTATGTATTTTTGATAGAATATAAATATTATTGGACCAAATATATATATATTGCCCTTGTCTCCCTCTCCCTTGATTAAAAAAATATCTATGGGTGCCCTTGATCACATTGCATTGCCATAATAGTATATATTATGAGCCATAATAGTATATACGAACCATAATGATTATACCATTATACCACTGTCTTTTATTAATGGTTATCGATCTCACACTATTCCAAGTAGGTACATAAATACTTTAAATAATATTCCTTCTGAAATTCAGCGGTAAACGCGTTCGGATTTTGACTTCGATCATTCGATTATATTGAAAACTCATCGACTATTGAATTCATAGCCTAAAAACTACATTTTTTTTCATAAAATTTAATTTATTTATTGTTGTTGTTCTTCTTCTCTGCTAAATGCATTGCCTTGTCGTTGCAAATCTGGATCGCCATTCTTCTCTGTTAGAAGCCAGTCTTTTCATGTCTATATATCGACTACAGTCAGCTTGTTTTATCATTTCATCTATACATGCCTTCCTCGGTCTACCTCTTCCTTTGTACCTCTTCCTTTCCAGAACATTTATGGTTCACTAACACTTTATACCTAATCAAAAATATTCATATATAAGAGAAACTATATCAATATCATTACTACATTTATTTTTGGCTTCAATAAAAAAATAACTTATCTGTTTTTACTCCAGCAATGGTGACTAATAAAATTTCACCCTATTATGCACTTAACTTTTATAAAATAATTTGAAAAAATGATTTATTTATAACATTTATTAATTTATAAAATATTTATGCGTAATAAGTATAATATTATATATAGGTAATATTATTCATGAAACCAGCAACCTTAATTTCAGCACAAATAACCATAATTCAATCAAATCTTAAATGTATTAATTAGTAAAAATTATATTTTTTGTCTAAAGTACAGATAAATTCAAAACATTAAGAAATGTACGGAAATACTTAAATAAAAATCTATTTTATATACACTTCATATTAATCTCTTATATTATAATGAGTAGAGTGAAACACATTAAACTATTAGCCATTAAAAATCGATTGCAATTATTATTATTTGACCATAATATATATAAATACCATGCAAATATTAATACTTTAAATGAAATGCTAGTCTCAGCTTTATAATTCAGAAAAGGTTAGGTATAAAATCGGTATAAAATTGATGAAATACTGAAGGTATACAAAAAGAAAAAAATCCAGTAAAAATTTCTAAAGTTTAAATAAACTAGCTGAAAACTTATTTTGTAAACTTTCATTCATCTAGACGAAAATAAACTTGAATATTTCATAATGTTTCTACTGAAATTTTGCTCAAGGTCATTATTAATAAAAAAAATTAAAAAATAAAAATATAATACACCAAAGATAATAGTTATGTTGAAAAATATTATAAATTCGGTTAGTTATAATTTAAATGCGTTTAATATTTATTTTTACAATGTACTGAAAATAAATAATATGTGCATTTTAAAATCACTATATAAGTGAACCAAAGTCATTGATAGGTAATTATAATGACAAAAAAAAGCAAATCTTTTTTCAATATTGAAATTATTAATGTTTGAAACACTAAAATATTCGTTGGAAAGTAAAGGATTGTAATTTAAAATACTCAGTTATAAAAAAAATAATGTATTTGATAATTTGTAATCACATTGTAAATAATTAAAACTTCCACAAGAAAGCCCTATAAAGTAATTTATATTGTAAACAAAAAAAAAAAAAAATTGTTAATTCGAAAAAATTTAAACCATTACCATTCAAACTTCCAAGAGGAAGTAAATTAATAGAACTCTCAATATTAATTTACAGTTATGAATATTATTATTAGCTTTCATCATGCGGTTTACGTATAAAAAAAGGAAGCCATAAATATTTTTATTCACAACTAATTTACTTTTTTATTTTTTGTTTTTGTTTTTCGTGTACTATACATGAAAATATTGATATTACAAATAATGTCAAAGTAAATTTGTTGACCGTTTTTACAACACAAAAAATGATATATTTTTTTAACATGTACATTATAAGGCTGTGATTAAATTAATATTATAAAATACAAAAAACTTGTCGGTTGTATTCGAATGTCAGCAAGTTAAAGACAATATAGCTATAATTTCTAATTGAACAATTTTTATTTTTTTCTTACGATCAATATGACAGAAATAATGTACAATATAAGCATTTGTACAATATTATATGTGACATTTCAATAAATACTTCCTTAAAAGGGACTGGGTAAATATGATTATTTTTTTTTTATATTAGATTTGAAGTACAGTTGGTCTATAAATTATATATTTGTTTGATTTTAAAATAAAAACCGTTGTTTCATTTAGAAATAACGTATTATGCATGTGGTACTTTTTTTTATTAAACTCCTTAACATACATGAATAGTAAGTAAAATAATAACAGAATAAGTAAAATAATTTTCTAAACAGTGTGTTAATTTTTATATTTTTAGAATAGCTTAAAAGATATTATTTTTAATGTTATACGAATAACTCGATATTTACAAATATTTCGTACCATTGAATAAATACTCCAACTTTTACCTACAACGTTCAATTTGAATTTATGTTCATTCCAACTCGTATACATGTATATTATATATAATAAACGTGAATAAGTATAATTTCAAGAACTTTATTTCAGATAAAACTTTTGTTCGCTATAGGTTTGCGAACATTTAATATCAAAACCGTTTGATAAAGTTTAGTTTTCTTTTCAATCATTGTAACTTAAATTTCTATAATACTTGTATCTATTGTTTTTATTTCAACTGTTTTAAGTTTCTGTACCTATATTATAGTTAAATATAGTATTTATAATGCAATACAAGGCAATTATTAAAAAAAAATTGAATTATACGTTAAATATACACTGCAAACTTGGTAGTGTACACTATTCCCATTAAAAAATTATCTCTATACTGAGCTTCAATAATTTAAATACACTTTGTTTATGTATTTTGTTAATTTCTGATCAAATAATATAGTTATAAAACATCTAAATTCAAGTGAAATATTATTATTAGTTTAAACTAAGAAAAAATTATTATCATGTTTTTACCAAACATATTTGTATTCATACCAATATTTGTATTTTACATTGATAGTTAACACCCATAACACAAAAACAGAAATTATGAAATATAGATACAACATTTCATCGATTTAAATTATATCATCGGTTTTAAAAGACTTAAGGCTTTAGCAAGGCTTAAAAATCATGTGTGCAAATTACTTAAACAACTGTACAAGCTTATTTATCCTAGCTACGTTTTCGTAAAGTTTTTAAAAATAATTATACCTGAATTTATTTGAATAAGAAAGTATACATTCACATGATATTCTAACTGAAAATCGTATTTTATTATAATATAACCAACTTAATGTATATTATTACTAGAAGTATAATTAGTATTAATGTTATTATTTATGTTTGATGTTTGTAGTAAATATTACCTCATACGATACAGATCTTAAATATATGACGTTAATATTAAATGTTCAAATAATGATTATAAGTTATATATGTTAAAGTTCTCAACAGAAAAAAATGTTGAAGTTAAATAATTCAAACTATAAATGGTTATAATACGTGAATGATTTATCAAATGAACAATATATGTTTTATATAAATAATGATTAAACAGTAACGAAATAAATTATTCAACGATATCATCATAAAGTGCATAGTTATACAAACTACACGAATGCAAAACATATCATAATGCTTTTTATTTAAACCGTTTTGAATTTAAGCCGTCTAATAATCTTATTGTACGTTTTCATGTGTTGTACTTTTTTTTTGCCTATACCGTTCAGTCTATACTGTAGACTATACTGTACATGCAGTTTCAGGAGTGTCTAAGGTTTATTGTTTGAAAGCTAGCTATAACTAGAATTTGCTCAAACCAATAAAGCCACGACTCAGTACATAGATTCGTTTTTCTCGAAAGAATCCCCCATATTATAGTATTTTCGAGGTGGATTTGTATAATTGTATTGGTTTGTTATTTTCCGCGTTTTCAAAAACGTGATTTCGGTGCGCTTAATTTTACGAACATAGAGGACATTGCAACGGCTAGTTAAACATTTTTAAATTAATCCTAATAACATTAAGATTTTTATACCACAGAACTCGAAATTTGTAGAAAGAAAAATAATGTGTATAATAAACAGTTTTCAGTGATTTAATTTTTCGTGTATATTTCGCACGATATGTCCAATTCGATACTCGAATTGTTTTACAGCTTTCGAATTGTTATTGCTTATATTTATGATTTGAAACTTATTAATATAGTAGAACTTTATTGTTCGAAATAAAGTATGGTTATTTAAATAACGTTTGATGAATCATGAATAATCACAATTTTTATTTAATATTCTAATCTAGAATTTAAATTTTAAAAATTTTTTAAGAGTTTTTAGAATTTAATTTAAATCTAATTTAGAACATTTTTAATCTCTCATAAGTATAATATAAAATCTGACATATTATTAATTATAATGAAATATAACTTGAAGATTATAAAAATGAAAAAACTCCGATGAGAACTAATTCGGGCGTCCATGGCATAAAATATGAGGGAACCAATCGGACATCTGTGACATAAAATATAGAGAATCAATAATTCGGATACAGACATCAAATTAATCGAATACGTATAAAATATCGTGGTGATTTATTTTCCATTGATAAATCCAGTTTCTCCTCTGTTTAAAAGTATTTTAAATATGTTCGTATTTGTACACCAATATTTTGAAAACTAAAACTATTTTTAACTGTATGACTCTGAGAAATTAATAAAATCTACAAAACTCAAAACCATAAACGTTGAGGGAAAACTCTTATCGATTGCAGAATATATAGTTGAAGTAAGATAATCATTGTTTCTTTCATTTTTGTTTCAGGTCACGTGGGTTCATCGGAAATCCGACGATATCCAATTGTTGACCGTAGGACGTCAGGTGCACAGTTCAGACCAACGGATATCGTTAAGTTTCAGATATCCGAATAACTGGAGACTTCAAATTGTTTATATAACCGATAGGGACGATGGAGTATACGAATGTCAAGTGGCAACACATCCGCCGACTACTAAAAAGACGTACCTCAGAGTTGACGGTAATTATATTTTCTGTTCGTACAAAATTTTGTATGCAGCTCGTTAAGTACTCGTATACATAAAGTTGAAGTCGGCTCATGCATTTTAAAACTTATAAGACCTATATTTTACCACGTATTAAATCGGAATATCGTATCAGAAAAGCACGTGTTACAAAAATGAAGTTAACCTAATAAAATAAAATAAAAATATATTTATTTATTTAATATCAGCTGTCACTTTTGGCTTTACTATTTCTCCGTGTTATTTCCAAAAATGTATGTATACGTACTCGTTATTATATTTTTATTCATGCTCACAAATATGAAATATCCTCAATAGTACAGAATATTAATTATTTAATTTACAATATACTACTTTGAAGATATACTTTCTATAAATATAATAATGATAACAGGTTTTATCTAAAATATTTTGAAATAGAACATTTTTATACTAAGTCATCTATAGTCTTATATACGCATAACATACATTTTATTCTTTTTATTTTGAGTTGTCTGTTAACCTGCACACAATAAATTCTGCATTTTGATTTCCACGTTCAGTAAAATAAATAATTTGACTATTATTTTATTTTAGTTTTTGAAAAAAAAGTCTCATGATTAAGTTATGAATATTTCACATGGTTTTAATTGATTATGTGATGATGTATTATGATTAATATCGATATTAAAAAATTATATTACAAATGTAAATATATTAAAATATTGGCTTCCAATATACATAATTAATACATCCATTTGATGAAATCCTTTTAATAACAAATTATGTATCGGTTTGATATAGAAATTTAATAATTATTTTTATTTGAATAGTCTGCTTAAATATATATACATGAATACTAATTAATAATGTTTATACATAAAAATTAACTATTTTTTATTATTCAAATTAAAAATAATATAACTAAGTCTTGGTGATCGAATTTATTTTGCGACACGTATTGCGTCAAATTTCTTTTATTACATGGTTTGCATCTTTGTTAGACATTAATGTATTATCGTTATATATGAGAAAAAAGTTATTCTGTTGAACCCTCGCCAATCTTTATTGGTATTTCATGTAAACATAATTTTAATATTTAAACAATTACTTTTGTCTATAAAAAATCATGTCGGTGTAAATTGAAAATTTTCAGTTAAAAAGGAATACACATTTAAAGAGCGGATGCAATTCGTTGATTTGGGAAGTAATTAATGTTAGATAAAATAAAAAACTAAAATGGTACATTAAATAAATGAATATTGTAGTAAATCAGTTCTGACGTGTATGTAATATTTTATTGACAGTTATTATGTCGAACGTGATGCGTATTTTTATGAAAGTAATGTTCAGATGAAATAGAAAATTATATTGACATGTATTTTAAAATATATACATATTCGATAAATATATAATATATATTTATTATATATTCTAAATTAATATTTTCTGTTTCATTTTTAGTTTACGTTTGTTTATAAATTCATATCACTTTGTCATTGACTTTTGTCATCGAAAATGAGCATTTCATTTTATTCAATATAGAAGTACAAAGTTACGAATTTAAGTTAAGTATTTTAAAACTTACATTTCAGTTTTATACTTTATAAGTTTGGATTTACTATTTCTATATGGAACAAAATCCTTCAAATTTAATAAATATGAAACTTTTTTTCAAGCTTTCTGCTATTACTTAATTCTACTGCTTCGATTTAAAAATACTGTAAATTAAAATTACGACCGTCCTGATATCATGAATAATAATTTATTGAAATTTTTTAGTGTCTTTGAAGTTCATTTTTTATACGCAACAAAATTGTTTTTATAACCATAAATTTAAAAGTACAATTTTTTTATAACTCAATATTACCAAGAGTAAAGAGTTCTATCAACTAATAATCCTGTTAAAATAACAAAATATATACAAGTAATGTTGTTTAAAACTACGAGCTATTTAAATTTTTTAGATTAAGCACTTTGTATTTGATTTCTAATATTGTTGCCATTATTGTTTAAATTTGACAATATTATTTGTCTTGTAATAATATAACAATTATCAATGATTTAAATATTTATTATTCACCAAAACAATATGTGTTTGTGTCCATGTACTTTGTTACAATAACATGGTTTGTAAATTATAGTGTTTACTGTAAAGTACATTTTTTCTCCAATGGATTAAAAAAAAAAAAACAAAAAATTTAACATTTTTAAAAAAATAAATAAATTTTAAGTATTCAAAAATTATATTTAAAATGAATAGTTAATAACTAATTGATAATACGTAATTTAAAAAATTAAAATATCAAACCTAATAAGTAATAATAATTAATATAATAATTAAACTTAATAACTTTGAGAACAAAAACTATAATCTTTTGAATTCATTATACAAACGTTGAGATGATTCTCAATTAGGGTTGTAAATTTGAAATATTTCATATGAAATATTGAAAAATATTATTTTTTACGTTTGAGATAGTGACAGCCAAATGTAATTTAATCCGTTGATATTGTATGATATCGTTTCGGTAGAATGTTAGGGTTTCTCATTTAAGGTGATATAGCATATCAACTGCCTATAAATAGGTAACGATCACAAATATATTTAATATTAATATATATATATGTAGTAACGACAAAACCGGCGCATTATTATTGATAGCAGCTATTTTTTCGATAATATTCATCTAATAAGTAATAGTTCCAATCGCCTGTGATTTATTTACATCTTACTAGTCAAGTTTTCTGAAGTATCTTCAGCCATCTAAATTTTAATTTCCATACTTTCTTGAGTATATTAATGAGAACATTATACTTACCTAATTTATGATTTAACTATGCAGAGGAGCTTATTTTTATTTTATTAGATTGTTATCTTTAAATAATATATTTATATTTTATGAATTCAGTCATTTTAATTTTAATTGCAATACTTTCAATAGTATAGTATTTAAAAATGTATATTTACCTAATGGTTAATTATTTTGATTTTATATTTTATACTGATAAGTAATTTGTTTAATTATGCAAAGGAGCTAATTTTTATTTTTCATTAAATTAGATTTATTTAATTACATTATATTTATTATCTTATATATATATATATATATATATATTTATTTAATTTATTATTTGTATATAAATACAATTCAATATTATATTCCGATATTGAATTGTAATTTTCATCTATCTTTAAAAACTAGGGGTCACGTTTTTGTACGTGAATATGAATGTACGTGTTCACGTATACCGTGATCACGTGAATGGATCAAAATAAATCACGTATTGTTAATACACGGCAATCAACGAAAGCTTAATCACGTGACCACGTATCTGAATCATTTTCACGTGATCACGTGAATTAATATATTTACGTGAACTGGCATTAATCAAAAATTTGATTGTATAAAAAATAATTATTTATAAAATATAAAGAGTTTGTTAATTTTGTTAATGATACCTACATGGTGGTCATATATATTGCATTACAAAAACCGATTTTAGGTACTATTTATTTTGTTTATTTTATTTGAAAATGTATTTATAAGTTTATTGATTAGCTTCATGATCTTTTATTGAACTCTGTAGTGCCCGTCGCATGTGACTTATCTAGTTTTTGGATAAGTAGTTGTGTGCCGGGAAATCTTTATGTGCTCGTAGTAATTCACCGTGAATTATTCACGGCGTCCGATTGTGAAAATAGAACTCACACACTGATACCATCATTTTGATTGAACGTTACAAGTTACAATTGTACAATATAAAATCGTAAACAATTATCTTAAATACGAATAAAAATTCCTATATGTATGTAATGAAATCCCTTTTCATGACTTTTTTGATTTTTATACCAAAATCGAAAATTGTTGCGCTAAATATATTTTTAATTGTAGATGGGCATCACGTGGATGCAAGACCACTATTATATTATAAAAAAATAATTAAAAATTATAAATATGATGTCTTTTTCGTTCATTATTTTGTTTATCTATTTATTATAATTTCTTAGATTAATATTTATTTATACATAATTTATCATTACACAATCTATTTATTATAATATTTTAGATTATTATTTATTTGTACATTATTTGTTATAATATTATCTATTTGCTTAAATTTGTTTCACGAAGTTTTATGTATATTAATTAATATTAAATTATTTACGTCATAATTTAAAACATAAGTTATTAATATTATTTACTATACGTAGGTACCTAGACAGTTGTACTTAATATCAGACCTAGTTTATCCATAGTCATTATATACGAGGACCGATGGCGACAAACATGATTATGTAAATTCACGGATTCACGTGAATAAAATTATAAATACACGTGAAATTTTAAGCAACGGGTTTTATAAATTAAACTTTAATTTCACGTGAGCACGTGAAAACGTATACACGTGAAATAGGGAGCTCTATTAAAAACATTTCCAGATGCTAGTATAATATTGTGTATTTCACAATATTCACAATAAATTTTATTAATATGTACCTAACTTTTAAACTCACTAGGTGTAATGCGCACTTTATCCGTGCATCTATTTACAATTAGTTTTGTTGGGCGCCAATTTGTAGTTGTATTAACTACAAATAATTAAATGTAAAATATTGTATAATAATAATTTCTTTCGTTTATTTATATTATATCATTAACAATGTTTTTCTTTTTATACACATATAACATGAAATAATAATAATATTATCGATATTTGATACGGTAAAATATCGACTCAAGAATATAAACAAAATATCGCGGATGAATTCTACAACACGAAAATCCCATTCACAATAAGAAATAATTAGATATGTACTCACTGAGGTACCAATTATTACAAAGCTATCTTACTACCGATTGGAGGAATGATATTCACAATAGAATAAGCAACACGGCGCAATTGTGTTCGGTGGCGGCAGCACTGATAACTACGACGTCACGTAGGGATGGCTCATAAACAGGCGGCACGGCGCACTCGAGTTCGGTGGCGGTGGCACTGACTACACGGTTGG